CCTGGGATTTTGGGTTGCAGAGTGATGTGAGCTGTGTGGTTGCTATAGCAACCCAGAGCTTTTTTTTTTTTTTTTTCCCCCCTGTGCATCACAGCTTTTGGAACATGGCTGAGGGGGCAGCAGCAGCAGTGTTAGCTGTAGCATTTCTCTCTTGAGTTTATTTCCTCTCTTTCTTCCTTCTTTAAAACAGGACAAGAAAGACCTGTATGAGCCTGTCTGCAGCATCCCTATTATCACCTCCCCGAAGGAAGAGGAGAGACTGATAGAGTCATCAATGAAAGTAACTGCTCTTAACAACTACGAGTGCATACTGGATGTATTCACACACAGAACTTACCTTTTCTCTTTTCCTTCTCCCAACAGCCTGTTGTTAAGCTGCTTTATAATAGAAGCAACAATAAATACTCTTACACCAGGTATGTTAGTTCTTTTTCCTCCCACTGCAGTGGGAGTGTTTCCCTTTGACTGTGGGAGAGGAGGAAGATGATGGATGACCCAACCTGGCTTGGTTTGGTTTGGGTTTGGTTTGGTCCAGACTTTGGCTGTGCTGGAGCCAGAGAACTGCAGTACATGGGTTCGATCATCTCAGGCATCAGCCAGGGCTGTGTGTGGTCCATGTAATGGTTTGGGGAGTTGTGCTGTCATTAGTAATGACATAACTTGACCCCTCAAGGCTGTTGAGTTTGCTCACACGGGTCAGAGCAGCGTGGTTGTGTCTGAGATTGGCTGTTGCCCTTCTCTTGGTGGGATGGGGTATGGGTGGGCAGCTGCAAACCTCTCCTGCTGTGGTGCTGTGTTCCAGTAACTCGGATGACAACCTGCTGAAGAACATCGAGCTGTTCGACAAGCTCTCGCTGCGGTTCAACGGAAGAGTGCTGTTCATTAAGGATGTGATCGGGGACGAGATCTGCTGCTGGTCCTTCTACGGGCAGGGCCGGAAACTCGCAGAGGTCTGCTGCACCTCCATCGTCTATGCCACAGAGAAGAAGCAAACCAAGGTAACAGAGCTTCGCCCTCCTGCCTGCTAGGGGCTGGAAATGGTCATGATTAGCACGATGAATCTGGAGAGTTTCCCTGACATTAGGAATGGACTTGTAATTTGCAGTGGTGCAGATAAGGTGCCCAGGGCCCAGCACTGAGAACAGGAGATGCTGCATTTCCTTCTAGCACAGTCTAAAGGAAGAGGTGGGGGAGGTGGCCTAGGGGTGGGAGTATTCCTCTACCAGGAATTGGTCTGCTTTGCTTTCATTTACAGTTGTTTTACTCTCTTTACATGTTTTTGTGTGGCTCAGGTATCTTTCCGTGTATGGGTGTGTGTTCCAGTCGCATCACCTGGACAGGTCAGGAACAGGATTGTGCTGTCTCTTGCAGGTCGAGTTCCCCGAGGCACGAATCTATGAGGAAACACTGAACGTCTTGCTGTACGAGACTCCCCGTGTTCCTGACAACTCGCTGCTGGAGG